ATATTGGCTCCAACTTTTTATGTTCCCTAAGAATTTTCTTCGTAAGCTATAGAAAGTTTGTTCGGATTTTATATGGCATGGGGATGAATCCGGGAGAGCTAAGGTGGTGTGGGAGAGGCTTGCTAGACCTGAAAAGGAGGGCGGACTGGGCGTACGTGACTTGATTACCTGGAATAGAGCATGACTTCCAGGATGCTCTGGCTCCTCATGGTACATTCAGGAGATCTATGGGTGGCTTGGATGCTTGCTTACAGGTACAAAAGGGGAGATCTCTAGAGTATGACGATTTCTGCATCTAGTTCATGGGCTTGGCGTAGGATTTTGAAACTCCCTCCTTATTCCAGACTTTAATGGGGTTGCAGGATGGGGTTGGTACATGGCAAGGAGAGAGAATGGTTTCGTACTCTGTTCGTGAGGTCTGGAAAACTTTGCGTTCTGTAAATAGTCGAGTAAACTAGTCTAAGTTTCTCTAGGCAAAGCATCATGTGCCTAGGTGGAGCTTTATCTCTTGGATCATGATGATGGATGCCACGGTTATGAAGGTCAATTTAATGAAGTGGGGACGAGTGCAAGACGACGTATGCCTATTGTGTGGTGGTGGGAGTGAGACGAGGGAACATTTGTTCTTTGATTGTGGTTTCTCCAAATGTTTGTTGATGAAAGTTGGTCTGCAAGTTGGTAGTGGCTCTTGGGAATCCCGGATTGAGGAGGCAGGAGCTATAGCTTTTAGAAACAATGCGTGGGGGCGTATGATAGGTTTAATCTGGTGTTCTTTGATATCTTTTATTTGTGAGGAGTGATGTCGTAGAAGCCATGGCGAGCATCCAAGAGCGACTGAAGTGATTTGCAGCTTGTGGTTAAGAGAATTAAAGTTTGTTGTGGGTGAGTATTCAATTCTGTTGGATGATTATAATAGTATTGGTCTTGCATAGATGAATAGTAGTAATGAAAGTAGCTGCTAGTTGGTTGAAAGTTGGTCTTTTTTGTGACTGTTCTACCAGGGAGATCCTACTTTAAGGAGTCTCTCTGCTTCGTTGTTTCAGGTGTGGTGTTGTTTCACCATGTCTTCTCTAAAGTTTAATAAGAGGAAACTGATTCAACGGGGGGGGGGGGGGGGGGGGAAGAATGTGACCGAATTGAACGCGTTCCCGAAAGAAGTAGCAATCCATTTCCATATATTTAGTGCGCTCGTGGAAAATTGGATTGTTGGCTACGTGTATGGCAGCTTGATTATCACAATGAAGAGACGTAGGACGATACTTCGAAACACCAAGCTCGTGAAGTAACCATCAGAGCTAAAGAACTTCACTGACTATACTAGCTACGGCTGGTAAACGGTATAGCGGTTATCATATTAACAGTTTACCGAACCGCTAACCGACGGTATCGGTATACGGTAGCCAATTTTAGTCACACGGTATATCGTTCCATTCTCAGTATATTACCGTCGGTATTCTGGTATACCGGGTTACCGAAACCCACACAACCTTAAATGTTATTTCGTTCTCTTCTTCCCCTGACTCAAGCCGCACGAAGTCTATCTCTCCATATTCGATTCTCTCCACCTCTTATCATCAATCCACCACACCAGTCCAGCAGTTCGCCAGTTCCTTCCACCACGAACCAGTCACCATTCATCACCAAAGTAGTGTGCCGCCGCTGGCTGCTGGTCGACGGCGATTGCAATCGATCTTCAAACTTCACCGTCGGTTGATTCCTCCCCCATCCTTTAGCTCTCTATTTTCATTGTCTGATTTTCCTCACTCGGCCTGCGATTAGGAACCCAGCGGCGACATGTAGTAGTGGCGGGAGCGCGGATTGTGCCGAAGCAAGAGACGCAGGTAGACGATGGTGGGCGTGGCGGTGACTGCGATGCGAGATCTCTCTTCCCGATTGACTGCAATTACCTCCCCGATTTATCTCTCTGAAGACGGCAGTGACGGAAAGGCCAAATGGCCCAAATCTATCTCCTTCACTAGATTTATCTCCCTGAAAAAGCTAATCTCCTTCATATCTTCAAGAACTCCGACATCCACTTCGGCCCAAAAAATCCCCTGCACCCCCAAATCCACCATGCAAATCTTGCAAGTCGAAGAGGTTGAGGTCATGGTTGCAGGCCCAGAGATTGATTTCTTGAGGAAGGTGTATCGTGAAGTCAAAGAGGTCAGAGGATTGGAGGTCGGAGGATTGGAAGTCGAAGAGGTCTTCGACAGCGGAGGGGGCGGGAGGATAGCTTTGCCTTCCGCGTACCAAAATCACTTTGAGGTAAATCGGGATACCGACACAAAAACCGATGCCGTCCTAATCGGTAATCGGTTTACCGAAATATACTCGGTATCGGCAAATGGCAGCGATAATGGGATTTCCGGTATACCGGTAACCGGTCAAAAGGTAACCGGTTTAACCAGTTACCGACCGATTACCACCCCTAGTACTAGCCATAGCACGATACTCAGCCTCAGTGGACGAACGAGCAACCACACGTTGTTTCTTCGTGCGCCAAGACACCAAAGCACCCCCAATACTAATAAAATAACCAGAAGTGGAATGACGGGTAGTCTGACACCCACCCCAAACACCATCGCAGTAGGCAACCAGTTGAAGAGAATTATTGCTTGAGAAAAAGAGACCCTGTCCTAGCGTTGTCTTGAGGTAGCGCAGAACTTGGAAAGCCGCAGTCAAGTGGAGCTGGCTGGGAGCATGAATAAACTGACTTAAGTATTGTGTCTGAAATAGAACCCGCTTCATATAGTGAAGCAACTTAGTATGAACATTGGAGAAGAGCCATAGATGAAAAGACTCAAGCTCTGGAAGAAAATCATACATGGGATGTGGTACCAATGTCACCAATGAAGAAGCTCATAGGGAACATGTGGGTCTACAAAATTAGAGAGGACCAGATGGATATCTTGAAAGACACAAGGTCAGACTTGTTGCTAAGAGATTTACACATGCATATGGGATTGATTTTTCTTATACATATTCATATGTTTCCAAGATAAACTCTGTCAAAGCTGTATTAGCAATAGAAACCAGTAAGAGATGGATTTTGGATTAAATGGATGTCTCCAATGCCTTTCTTCAAGGCGATTTGGAGGAGGAAGTCTATATCGAGTTGCCACCAGGTGATCCACGTACTAATGACCCAGAGAAGCTGGTTTGTAGGCTCAGGAAGTCCTTATATTGACTAAACAAGCAAGTAGGCAATGGTTTGCCAAGCTCACCTCATCTATTCTTAAACATGGTTTTGCACAGTCTGCCTCAAATTACTCCATGTCTACCAAATGGGTGCATGGTCATTTTGTTGTCCTTTTGGTTTATTCCAATGACATAATCCTGGGGGAGATGACATGAAGGACATTGAGGACGTAAAGAAGTTCCTTAGCATGCATTTCAAAATGAAAGACTTGGGGCCTTGAAATAGCTAGAAGCAGTGCATGAATTACAATTTGTCAATGAAAGTATTGCCTGAATTACTGAAAGATACAGGATATCTTGATGCTAAGCCATGTAAGTCACCTTTAGATACCAAAGTGACTTTGAGAGCCAAGTAAGGACAGCCATTGGATGATCCTGAACAATACAGACAACTCATTGGGAGATTACAATACCACATGACAACTAGATAAGATTTGACCTTTCTTATGCAGCAGCTTAGCTAGTTTGAAATGGATACTTATACTGAGCACCTTTAAGCAGTCTACAGGATTCTGAGATATATCGAAGGATCGCCAAATCAGGGGATCTATTTCAAAAGTGACTCTTCATTGTTGCTTTCTGGCTATAGTGATTCAAATTGATCAAGCTGCCCTGATTCCATAATGTTAGTTAGTGGTTATTGCACATTCCTGGGTGATTCTCTGGTGACTTGGAAGGCTAAGAAGCAGGCCACTGTGTCTCGATCGTCTTTAGAAGCTGAATATCGAGCTTTGGCTCAGCTGGTATGTGAGTTACAGTGGATGAAAGGATTACTTACAGAGTTGAGTGTAAGTGTTCAGCTACCTATTTTAGTCTACTATTATAACAAGTCCGCTATTCACATTGCTGAGAACCCTATATTTCATGAAAAGAACCAAATACATCAAGATTGATGTGCATGTTACTAGGGAAAGAGTGACGTCAGGGTTGATTAAGCTTGTTCATGTGAGGACTATTGATCAAGTTGTTGATCTCTTCACTAAAGCCCTGAGCAGGTTTCGAATTGCAGATTAATTGGACAAGCTTGGCGTGCGGACACTCCAGCTTGAGCGAGGCTATAAGAAAGCCTAACCAGGACTAAAACAGTTGACGAAGTCGAAGCTCACTGTAATGGTGAAGTCAATAGTTGAAGGAGAAGGCATAGTGAAACACGTTTTGGACTCGAATAAGATTCGTTCTATGGGAAGCATTTCGAGCATTCGACGGTTATGCGAAGGCGTATATCTATTTTTATTTAGATAGTGTAGTTAGTTTTATGTCTGGCTTATTTGCTTTCACCAAATGTCAAGGTGAATTTGATTTTCTGTTTTACTTACCATTGTAAACACTAAAACTAAAAGTGAGTTTACAATAAACTAAACCCGTAGCTAAGCTTTGCGGGTTTCCCGAATTGGCTTATGCTAAGCTCGATATTTTCTGCAGAATGTCTTTTTTCCTCTCTTTTCGAGACTTTCTAAAACTTAAATAGTTCTTAGCAAAGTAAATAATTATCTGAAAATTCTAGAAAAAAAAAAAGTAATGATCAGAAAACAACTTCGAACCTGAGGAGGAAACTATCAACACCACAAAACACAAGTACTAGAAAGTAGAAAATATATATTTGAATTCCCACCAAAACAAAAATTGTCCAAAAACATAACTGAAACAATATCACATATACATTAATCTAGGTGTCGTTGTCATGGATATTTCTGCGGTGTGAGAGTGCCACCTGGCTTCGGATCTGCGTGATTGGTGTACCAAAATTCATTTCCTTCGCCCACTAGGATTTCCCGTTTGATTTCCCCATTTATTTCTATTACAAAAATACTTTCCTCCCCCATTTCCCCTCTCCTCCTCCACTCCATCAGAAACGCCACCTTTTCTTCCTCCCCTCCTGCCCCTCTCCACCCACACAAAAAAAGCTTCATTCCTTCTCTTCGGTTCTGTTTCTCTCAGAACTACCAACTTGAGGGAAAAGTCTGCATTTTTCCTCAATTCCAACTTCACTAAAAAACCATGGCTTCTCTAATCTTGTTCTGCAGCTCGATTACTCCATCATCCATGGCGGTTTCCACGCGAACCCACTTCCCAGTTCTCCCTCACGAGCTCTCCTGTTGTGATCACCACAATTTGCACTTCCAAATCAGGAAGAGTAGTAACAAGAGAAGGCATAAATCGAGTAGTCAACCAGTCGTCAAAGCAGTAGCGGCGGCAGAAGCCCCGCCGGCGACCCAACCGAGTGGGGAATTGAAGGAGCAGAACAAGAGGAAGCTCAGAGTTCTGGTCGCCGGCGGTGGGATTGGTGGGTTGGTTTTTGCTCTGGCAGCAAAGAAGAAAGGGTTTGAGGTAATTGTCTTTGAGAGGGATTTGAGTGCTATTAGAGGAGAAGGGCAGTACAGAGGGCCAATTCAGATACAGAGCAATGCTCTGGCGGCGCTCGAGGCTATCGATTTGGATGTCGCTGATGAGGTTATGAGAGCTGGTTGTGTTACTGGTGATAGAATTAATGGCCTTGTTGATGGGATTTCTGGCACCTGGTTAGTTCCCCCTGTTCTGGGTCTTCCCTTCTTGTACCATATCTCAATGATTCTGTTTGGTCTTCAAAGTTTGCATCTTTATGGCTGATATGAAAGCCAAAGTTGTTAAGGAAAAGGCTATGACCAAAAAAGTTTTAGTACTTTTTTGGAATCAGTCAGCTGCGGTGAGATGATTTACAGAGAGGTAATTTGTAAGTAAAATTGAGATCCAAAAACTGTAACAAACGAACACACTTGTGAGCTGTGACTGGTTAATTTGGTTTGCCAATTTTACTGCTGGGTTTGTTTATTTTCAGTTAATTTAGTTACTGTGAATGAGGTGGTTGTATGTCGGGTTGTTCTGGGTCAGTGAAATTGAAGAGAAGTAGTTTGTTTATAACAGGTACGTGAAGTTTGATACATTCACTCCTGCTGTAGAGCGTGGGCTGCCAGTCACTCGAGTTATAAGCCGAATGACTCTGCAGAGAATCCTTGCCTCTGCTGTTGGTGAAGAGATTATCCAAAATGGTAGCAATGTTGTCGATTTTGAGGACGATGGAGATAAAGTAATGAACATCATGTCGTTCTGGTTTCTGTTTCTTGTTCCCTTCATTGATTTGGAGAACCTTTTAAGTTTTTGTTTTCACTGATCGGAAACTTTTGACTCCAGGTCACTGTGACACTGGATAATGGAGAGCAGTACGAAGGCGATCTCTTAGTTGGTGCTGATGGAATATGGTCAAAGGTTCAAAACGCCTGTAGTTTTTCTCAAATCTTATTATTTGATGGTGGTATACAAGTTTGTTTTGCTTTAACATCTTGTCTTCTCTCGAATGTTTAGGTGCGAACTAAGTTATTCGGACCAAAGGACGCAACGTACTCTGGCTACACTTGCTACACAGGCATAGCAGATTTCATTCCAGTTGACATTGAATCTGTTGGGTATCGAGTGTTCTTGGGTCACAAACAATACTTCGTCTCCTCTGACGTGGGAGCTGGAAAGATGCAGTGGTATGCATTTTACAATGAAGCAGCTGGAGGAACAGACAAGCCTGGTGGTATAAAATCAACTTCCTTCTCTTGGAGGTTCTTGATGCTTGTGGTTTGTAGTGTGCTTTTAGTCTGCGTATTCGAATACAAATTTAAATTTGTGAACTCAAATCATCACAGGTAAAAAGGAGAGGCTGCTGCAGTTGTTTGAAGGATGGTGTGACAATGTGATAGATTTGCTCCATGCCACGGATGAAGAAGCCATTCTCAGACGCGACATATTTGACAGGACTCCAACTCTTAGTTGGGGAAAGGGCCGGGTGACATTGCTCGGGGACTCCATTCATGCTATGCAGCCTAACTTGGGTCAAGGAGGGTGCATGGCTATAGAGGTAACACCTTAATTATCCTTGTTTTTTGAGATTGGGATATCTATTAAGATTAGCTTAACTGCTTGACCCGTGTTAAGGAACTCGGAACTAAAGCTTTGTCTGCAATGACAGGATGGTTACCAACTGGCAGTGGATCTTGTTAACGCGTACGACCAAAGCATTGAATCAGGAAAGCCAGTGGACGTAATCTCTTCTTTGAAGAGGTATATACCAAATTCTGGTTTAATTCTTGTGGCTCGGCTAAGTAGATTGCTCATCATTGCTATTGTTATTTTCACAGCTACGAGAATGCTAGGAGGTTACGAGTAGCCATCATCCATGGAATGGCTAGAATGGCTGCAATAATGGCTACTACCTACAGACCTTACTTGGGTGTAGGGCTTGGACCATTGTCGGTATGTCTTTTGATGTTAGATGAAGAGAGAATGCTGCGGGCAATAGCTGGGAGTTTTTATACTAGTCCATGATGTTTGTGTTTCTGAAATGATTTTTGCAGTTCTTAACAAAGTTCCGGATACCGCATCCTGGAAGAGTAGGTGGGAGATTCTTCGTGAGCCTGGCAATGCCTTCAATGCTGAGTTGGGTCCTAGGTGGTAATAGGTTTGCTCCTAAATCCACACCTTGTTTTCTGTTCCATATCGTTTCCCTAGTTGAACATAATGTCATATACGTGACTGTGCCTTTCATTCTGCAGTTCAAAGCTGGAAGGGAGGTCAGCATCGTGCAGACTGTCAGACAGAGTATGTCGCTCTCTTGATTGTTTCTGCGTTCTGTGAGTCGTCCTTTTCCATGTTAAACTTAATAATGGATTGTGAAGACTTCTCAAATGTGATTGTTGATCACAGGCTAGTGATCAGTTGAGCAGATGGTTCGAAGATAATGATGCGTTAGAGCGTGCTCTTGATGGAGAGTACGACCCTTTGCTTTTCATCACCTTCAACATGTTCTCTGAACTGCATGTGCAATTCATGCCAATCTTTTTCTTAGTTGCACTTTTTATCCATGTTTTGAAGGTGGTTTCTTCTCCCATCTGGACATGAGGCAGCTTCTTCAGAACCTATTCATATGCCTCGGGACAAGGAACAACCCCTCCTCTTCGGGGCTACATCGCAGGAAGATTCCTCTGGAGTATCCGTAATCATAACATCTTCTCAGGTAATCATTTGAAGGATGCTACTAACGTCACTCTGTCTGATCGTAGAAGAAAGGGAAGGTGCAATGCTAACTACAACCCATTTCTCATTTCCCGATCTTTAGGTCTCCCCACAGCATGCTCAGATTAGCTACAAGGATGGCTACTTCTACTTGCTGGATCTCAGGAGCGAACATGGAACCTTCATCACAGAGTAAGTTTCTGGAAGTTTTGGCTCGTGCCCCATTGGTAACCTTGACATGGAATCCTTCACTAAGTCCGGTGTCTTCGATGATGCAGCAATGAAGGGAGACGGTACAGGATACCTCCAAACTTCCCAACCCGGTTCCACCCCTCGGATACTATTGAGTTTGGTTCTGATAAGAAGGTACTCCCTCTCTCTTTTCTTTGTAAAACTGCTTGATTAGGTCTGTGCATTCTGGTTGAGATTCTGAGTTTTCCTCTGGTGCAGGCCGCATTTCGAGTGAAGGTACTGCGGTCTTCTCCAAGGGCGGCAGAGAAGGAAGCGAAAGAAGTCGTTCAGGCAGTATGAATGATTTTGGTGGTAGTTGGTGACGAATTTGTACAGCATTTGTTAGCAATTTGAGCAGCAATTAATGTATGCCGCATAGCTATAGGATTGAAAAAGAAATGAGTGAAATATACTATGTTGCAGACTTTCAGCAGCAGCTGAATGATGTAATATATTGATCGTAGAACGAAAAAAGAAAACGTTTTCGCGCTTCATGCACTACAGACAGGTATCTGCATCTTTCTACAACTTGGAACAAGACTGCAAAGAAACAGTAAACTGGAACACCAGAAAGGAACAAATCCTACACATAAGGAATTAAACATACGACGACAGCATGTACATTTTGGAAGCTTTATTTACGGTTCTGCCAACTACCTGGCATTCAGGAAGCAGGAGGCGAACCTGTTTGGTCAAGAATGCATCTCTTTTATTATGTTGGCAACAGGATGAGGGAGCCAAGCCGTGTTTCCACCAGCTTTGTTCTCATCCGACTTCGACCCCTTCCCAAGTTTGCAGCTCACAGCTCGTCCAACGGACATACCGAGCTTCATTGCAGTGAATGCGCCCAGTGCAACAGCCAACGGTCTAACCGCCCAGTGAAAATCCTCCACGTGCCGGTATTTCTCCACAATCCCGGGACACGTATCGAAGGTAACGAGCTCAACCTGATCTGGATCTGCCAAGTAGGATTCTGAATCTTCACCACCAAACACAAACCGTCCTGGGAAGTTTACTACGAGACATCCGTTTGGAAGCACGCGTGAGACTCGGCCAGTAGCCCAGACAGATCTTCCCTTGCGAGGCCAACTGAATCGAGGAGAAGAAATGTCAGCTTTCAGGCGTACGAATTGGCCTAGATAGTAAGGTTGAGCTATTTCAAGCTTGGAGACGTCTCCCATCCAGAGGATTTCACGTCCGGCAAATCCAACTGCTGCACGTCCATTCCGTTTGATGGAATGGAGAATGCCGACACGAGAGTGGTTGCTGCAGTTGTTGTCTGCCTTCAGACGAACCCAGTCACCAGCTGAAAGACCATATGCAACCCTCTCGAGGGTGGACTCCTGTATCTTCACAGGGTTGTGAACTCCGGAGATCTTCACCAGAACGAGTCCAGATCTTTCGGAGTCTGTTCCGACGACTGTTCCTTTCTGCAGAGGTAAGGTCTGCGGCTTTTGTGCGTTCAGGGGTTTTCTTGAACGGACGGTGTCGTCTACTTGGAGATAATCTTTCGAGAGGTACCAGGTTGTATAGCCGACGACAGGTGAATTTTCTGGGAATGATTTACTGCCCCGCTGTGGACTAATCCATCCTTCATCGGCTTGAACAGAAACCTGCGAGCTGCAAATACACAAAGTAACCTCAAACTCAAGGAAAAGAAGTAATTCCCAATTCCAACAAATACAGTACTTGAATCTATTTCAACCACATCACCCTGAACTACTCTAAGCTCTTCTTCATCATAGTCGATAGCAAGTCAAAGAAGGCAAGTAATTAAGCAATAATCAAGAAATAGAAGTACCTCTCAAATGCAACCAGGATGTCATCCATTAAGGGTCGGTTTCGTGGATCATACTCAAAACAGCCGGAAATAACATGTTCCACGGCAGGAGGCAAACCGTTAGGTATAGATGGCCTCTCTTGCTTAAACACAACAGCTTTATAAATCTCCTTCGGTGATTTTCCAGACCAAGGTTGAATCCCAGTCAACATCTCCAATATGCTACATCCGAAACCCCAAGAATCAGTCTCCAGACACAACGGACCTCTTGCTTCTGGTTCCCATTGTTCAGGGGCCATGTAACTTGGAGTTCCAAGCCTCAAGGCTACATCTGAATTCAACAAAGGTATACCTAGAAGAAGGTAAGGGATGCCGAAATCCCCAATCACTAAATGGTCGTGCTCATCGAGAAGGCAGTTGGAAGGTTTGACATTCAGTAGCAACAAACCAAGCGAGTGTAACTGTAGGACTCCTCTTGCCAAGTCAATGCCATATCTGCAAAACATGCAAAGTTTGGCAACAAGACATATAGTTACATCCACTGGAAGAACACCGTATATTCTAGTGATGGTACAGAAGTTTGTAGATGAGACCTCAAGACATCTGGTAGTTTGAGCTTGCCTCCCTTTGATCTAGCAATCTGGTCAGCAATTGATTCCTCGTAGATTTTCATTGCAATGCAAATCTGCAACATGAGAAACCAATCACATCATCAGCACAAGAGCTTGTATTGGAAGAAATAATAAAACCAACTATTTTAGATTATGGATTGTGCCCAAGGACCAGGAGTTGATGGATTGTTTCCATGCTCATATAAAATATAATAAAAAGTTGATGGATTTGTTGTAGTGACAATGATAAAATTTATGTATATAGTGGCAAGTCCCACCTGGCCATTTATCTTTGAGATACCATGCAACCAACAAACGCATTGGAGTTCTCTCATTCTCATGAACAGGCCTTCAACATTCTCCACAAATTTCTGCCCTAGGTCTTCCTTTAGAGGGTGTAGCACCTTGACAGCTACTTCATGGTGCTCGTCAAAGTCATCAGAAGATTGATGGTGTGTTGCTAACCATACATCACCAAATGTTCCTCGGCCAATCCTGTGTTTGAACTTCAACTCAAAAGGATTGATCCATGGCACAGTCTGTGTAGGTGTAGCCACAACTGTTCTCAGGTGGTCAGGATCTCCATCAAAGAGCTCGTACTCGAAAGACGCTGAAGGCTTGTGCATTCTGATCGACTTTTCCATTCCCTATTTGAGATAATAACAAGACATGTAAACGAAGAATCAGGAGGGAAAACTCTACAAACATACCATTTCCATATACACAAATAAGCCCTGCTGCCAAAACACAAAGAGCCAAGCACACTAAACAAAGTGGTCACTGTGATACAAAAAAATCATAAACTTGTAGCAGATCTAGAGTTCCCATTAAACCATACATACAAGACCGTACAATTGAGGGTAAGAACTCACTAGGAAATAGTGATCTAATCACTGTAAATATGGGGAAGCTTGTTTTTCGAAGTTAGAATTGTGATTGTTTGAAGATACCAAGATCCATTCCCTTACAACATAATCACTGAAACAGTGAATTCGAGGTTCGAGCTGATACTCATAATAAAACTATGAATTAGGTCAAGAATGAAAAGAAGAAAGCATTAATTGTAGAAAAAGGAATTTGGAAGGGAAAGTCCTCCAGAAGACTTCAGCCGCAAGAAATACTATAACTGCACGTTTGCTTTAGCGCACCGGGTCTAGTGATCGGGGAAAAAGATCTACCGGAGCGTTAGTTTTCCGGTCAGTCTTTAATTCGAGAAAATCGGCATGAAACTGGAAGCAAGGAAAGTTCGCGAGATAGTCTCGACTCTCGAATCATCAATTCTTAGAAACAGACACAGGATCACGAGATGAAATTAGAGCACAGAAATGCTCAGTTTCCGGTCTCCCTAACCTCTAGAAACTTCTGCAGGCCAGCACAAGACGGCATGCGAGCCTCCATCGTACTTATACGCTACGAAGGCGAATGGTATAAGTAGAAAATGAACGGAGCTTACCGGAACTGCGAGTGATTGGCGAGAGAGATTTCACGGAGAGATGATCGGAATGGTTTTCAGTTTCTCCGTCGGAAGGAAGCGCGGGGGCAGGCGTGGGGACGTGGAGGTATCCGCCGGGCCAAGGTAGGGAAGAGGACGAGGATTCAAACTGCCATTTTCCGGATTCGAATTTTTTCTTTTTCGTGTACAAACAAATAACTGCAAATATCTCTCATTTAACTCTTCCATCAATCTTGCGCTGTGGGTGCACGCCAAAGAAAAGGTCTTGGGCTGGGCCTGGGGTTCATGATTGAGTGACTCGTCAAATTTCAGAAATCAGGCCTGTAAATAGCCCAGCTACATTGGGAGCTGCGTTGGCCTAAAGAGTTTTGGAGAATAACCGCCTGTCCAATAAAATTAAAATAAAAATTGATGCATAAATTTCACAAATATTAAATTTACTATTTTCTACAACCATCCACGATGGCTTTTCATATTATAAAAAATATTTGTGAAATTTATTTATCCTTTATGTTATGAATCAAACTTTTTTCTATATAAATAACTAATATAATACATAACTTGGTCACTCAACCGATTTCGAAGACCTTTCTTGATTAATTTCATAACTGGAAAAGACTCTTCCACAACTTGCGGTTACAACTTACAACAAGTAAAGTTAACACGAACTTTTATAGAGAAGATAAAATGGGAAGATGGAAGGGTGACGTTAGGCAGCAGTGTGGAAACTTTAACGAGAATGGGCGTGTGCTAGTGCCAGTCAGGACCCAACAATTGGAGGGTGGAGTACAGGGCAGAGTTAGCTGAAGCGGTTTCAGTGACAATGACGGCGGGGAAGCCTTGCCGCCGCCGGCACCAAGCTCAAACGTTGATGTAGTTGCTGCCATTGGGTCACTTTGCCAATTTATGGAGGAAGCTTTGGCTGGCAACACTCTTCAGGTAAATTCTCAACTTGATTGTCTTAACTCCTGTGTAGATAGGCGTTTAAGTCAACTTTTTGAAATTGTAACTAAAAATTGGTACAATCACGAGCTTTGCCAATTGATGGTACAAGTTCAACTCCAAACAATGCAAATTTTTCTCCCGTCGGTGGCCGGAACGGCCAACTACGACAAGATAACTTACCGCCGCCGGTGACAACCCAACCAACCTCTCACCACGTGAATCGCGGCGAGATTCCCGCCACCACTCAAGTGGAGGCTTCAGTTAACGTGGGAGTTGGGGAATTTCCCCCACGTGACAAAATTTTTGCCACTGCGTTCAACACCCATGTTGAACAACCGCCATCCATCCCGGTGGCGAGACCCTACGTAGCTCCTCCTAACATGGGTGTAGGAGGAAGGTTAGGTGTTGGGGATCAAGTTCCTCCACGTGCTTACCCAGCACCCATACCACCCCAAGTCCATGGGCATGGTGTGGACCCCATGGGGTTCGTACCGCCAGGGGGCAAGGGGGGCATGATGCTAATGCCCTAAGGGATCAAGTGGCTCAACTCCTTACCGAGCAATTTGGATTAGGAGTAAGGCCCACCATGCCACCTGTGTATCGTAAGCCTTACCCGGAATGGGTAGATAGGCTATACCCATTTCCAAGAGGGTTTAGGGTGCCCGAGTTTGCCACCTTCACGGGTACTGGTGACCAGTCCACTGTTGAACATGTGGGACGGTTTACTGTCCAATGTGGAGACGTGGGAGACTTTGTCAAGCTAAGACTTTTTGGCAACTCGTTGACAGGGCCAGCTTTTGCATGGTATGTCAACTTGCCGTCTAACTCTGTCCAAACTTGGCAACAGATGGAACAAATCTTCTATTGCCAGTTCTATAGATCTGAGCCCGAGGTCTCAATGGCTGACTTGGCACGCATGCGGCAGCAGCCAGGGGAGTCGGTCAAGAATTTTTTGACTAATTTCAAGAATGCTCGTAACCGTTGCTTTGTCAACTTGACAGAGAGGGAATTTGTCAAGCTTGCTCAAGGGGGCTTGAGTTTTGAGCTAAGGAAGAAATTCCAAGACAGAGAGTTCTCGGACTTGTTCCAACTCATGTCTTGTGCTGTGAGATATGAGTCTCTTCTCCAAGAAGAGGAGAATAGGAGGAGTGCATCAAGGGGGCAATACTTCCCCTCAATTAACTACCCTGTCAACCAGGTTGGCCAAAAGGCCATTGAGGTGGAAGTAGACCTGGCTGAGTTAGCTCCGGGGAAGCCATATGTTTGTGCTTCTTTGGCTAAGGCTGAAAACGAGCCGCAAGGGGGTAGACCCAATAGGGCCCCCATCCAGCCACGCAAGTACTCATTTGATGTCTCGAAGGCTGACTTGATTTTTGACCAACTCTACAAGGATGGTCAGATCAAGTTAACTGGGGGGCATAATATACCACCACCCGAGAAGTTAAAAGGGAAGAAGTATTGTAAGTGGCATAACAGCATGTCACATGCCACTGACTCATGTGTGATTTTTCGTAACATCTTGCAGGATGCTATTGAGAAGGGGCGTATCAAGTTCCCGGAGCCAAAGAAGGATGCCATGTTGGTGGATACTGACCCATTTCCCAACGTGGTAGGCATCAACATGGTTAACCCGGACCTCTCCAAAATTGAGTTGCCCCATTTCAAGTTGGTGTTGGATACAACGCCGCCTCAACATGGGAGCTCCAATGTCACTCATGAACAAGGGAGCTCGTCAGGTACAAAGCAGGCTAGCCCGGCCGCAATGATGACAGATGAAGTTGAGAAGTTGTGTGCTCAGTGCAAGAAGAGCCTCAAACTTGATGAGGCGAGGCCTTCCGCCCACCAAAGACTTGGCCCACCCAACAGGCCGAGATACCCTTCTTATCCGAGACAAGTGGAGGGGGTCGTCCAGCCGGCTTGGGGGCAACGAAGGCAGTGGATAGCACATGGCATTCCTTCCAGGCGTAGTGCTCCCATCAGAGGCCCTCCCGTGATCAGAACTTTTAAGATTCCCAATGTGCCACAAGGAGGGTGGCATACATATGACATACGTCGTCAACAACCAGTAGCCATTGGGGGGATGACAAGGACTCAAAAGAGGAGATTCCTACGTAAGAATGCCGCAGCACGGCAGGAGAGGTATCAGTAATACTTGGTGCGAGGATCAGACCATCACAACACAATGATGTTGTTCCACCAAATATCGAGGTGGACAACTCAGTGACTACAGGGCTCAAGGTGACAATGACTGACAAAGGGAAGCATGTCCAAGTTCAGGATGATGTCAAAATTCGTGAAGGGGTCGAGGATGACTTCCAAGAAGGAGGAGGTGAATATGAAGATGAGTATGCTGAAGATGACATGCTAGAAGATGAGCATCCCAATCCCAAATTTGATAGAGGCAACAAGGATGATGAAGGGGATGACCAAGGACCCCCTCTGACAATCCAGTTTGGAAGTTTGCCGCCAGTGGTGGTCACAAACTACATACTACCTATGGTCTTCCAATTCAATGAGGAAGACCGAGATAGGTATGTGGAGGAAGAAGAGGTAGTAGAAGAGGCTGAAGATACAGATGGGTCCGTTGCTGAATTAATCGAGGAATTTGCTCGTTTGGAAGCAAGTGATGAGCCATGGGGTGTTAGGATGGCTCGATTGGGGAGTAGGATTGATCTAGCTGCTGAGGTGGCAAGATAAGGCAAGAGTTCCCAGCAACTCTTGAAGTAACTCCATGAGGCAGGCCATAAGAGTGTTGGTTTGCTTGGTGAAGATGATGGGAGATACCCTTTTTACGTGTTATACCAGGGGCCTGAAGCTTCATCGTCCTCACCCATCTAGAACTCTTCTTGGGGTTGGGAGTTTGATGGTGAGGCCGAGGATTCGGCAGCAAAGGAAGAAAGTTCGCCGAGAGAAGAGGAAGTCTGGCAAGTAGCCACCTTGAAAGGGAAAGAGGTCATGAAGGAGGAAAACACAAGTGATGAGTTAAGTCACTTAGTGGTTTTCAAGGAACCAGAGCCAAGTATGCTAAGGCATTTGAGGCCCCTCTATATCAAGGCTAGGTTGGATGGTATGCCGATGTCAAGAATCCTTGTTGACAATGGAGCTGCTGTCAATGTGATTCCCACTAGGCTGTTAAGAAAATTGGGAAAGACTACAAGCGATTTGATTCCCACTGATATATTCGTTACTAGCTTCAATGGGGGATCAACTTCAGCAAGAGGGATACTACCGGTCTTAATTGGAGTTGGTAGTCAAGAGAAAATGTCTGCTTTCTTTGTGGTGGATGGGGCGATAAGCTACAATGCCTTATTGGGAAGGGATTGGATCCATGCCAACAAGTGTGTCCCATCCTCACTTCATCAATGTTTGATGTTTTGGAATAAAGAAGGAATGGTGGAGGTAGTACAAGCAGACACCAACCCCTTTGCAGTTGGTGCTAACGTGGCCGAGGCTCTATCATGGAGACTTCGGGCCTCTACAAGTGAGGAGTATGGATGGAGGGTCGTGGACAGTGGTGATATCAAGTGCTAAGATATTGAGCATGGCATGCCTCGACCCCCTTGCCGACATTGTGAGACCATCTATGATTGCTTTGGATGGTCCACCTAAAGCCGAAACAAGTATCAATGATGAGTAGACCACTTTGAGACCAGATGGTGGGCAAGGCCGAAGTGACGGCCTTGTTGGAGAAGTTAGCCATCTATCAATGCGAGCAGAGGTTAGCTTGTGAGGAAGCGGTGTTGATGGCTGACTGTGTGCCTGAAGATGACTCGCCTGAAGAAGGCGAGGTACCGGGTATAACTGAAGAAGACCAGAGGCCTATGACATCATGTGATGTGTTGGAGGAGATCAATCTTGGCACCGAGGACGACCCACGTCCTACTTTCATCAGTGCCATGCTCCCCGAAGCCGAGAGGTAATGAGTTAATTAATTTGTTAAAAGAATTTAAGGATTGTTTTGCATGGGATTATCACGAGATGTCTGGTCTAGATAGAAAGTTAGTAGAGCATAGATTACCAATTAGTGATGGTTTCAAACCCTTTAAACAACCGCCTAGACGGTTTGCTTATGAGGTCTTGCCAGAGATTAAGAAAGAAATTGAAAGATTGTTGAAGGCTGGCTTCATCAAGACAGCCAGGTATGTGGAGTGGTTATCCAACGTAGTGCCAGTTAGAAAGAAGAATGGCAAGATACGTGTATGTGTAGATTTTAGAAATTTAAACTTAGCCACTC